ATCATTTCTTTTCCAGTGGGTGCTCGTTAAAAATGCATAAAACTGTACAACGATATAGCAACAATAATACTTGAGACATGTATTAATATTAATAACAAGAATGTATATTTTTCTTTTTGGTGACGTGAATTACTGATATTGGTATAGTGTGTGTTAAAAATGTTATCAGTGTTACTGTCCCTTTTGCTTCTGTAAAAGTTTGTGCTTACTTGTTTTTTGCTTGTTACGAGAATTTCATTGTTAAGGATAGCATTTGAGATCGTCAACTTTTGATTTTCAGGAGTGATGGTGAGATATTGTTTTGTGTTGTTTTTTACTACTGCTACTGCTACACTACTGACCCTACTGTCCTGACTGCCCTCACTTGTGTTGAATGGTTGTTCTTTATAATTTTGTTGGTGAGGATAACATTTTAAATTGTCAGTTTTTGATTTTCACAGAAGAATGTGTCTGTATTTTGCCTTTTTACTACTGCTACTCGCTACTCTAGTCTACTCTACTGACCCTACTGTCCTGAGTGCCCTTGCTTAGGGGTGAAGGGTCATTTTTATAATCAGATTTTAGAATGATGAAATATTTTTCTCATCTTTCATTACTGGTGGTAAGGTTGTTTTTAGGATGATGAAATTTTTATCTTTATTTCAGTCAGTTATGCACCATGCGTAATACACACTTAGGCGATCATGTATCTTTTGATACATGACTGACAAAGCAGATTTTTTCCCGCAGTAGGTTGCCATTTCTTTCTACGGTAGACCAGTTGCCATCCAAGACTATAGAACCTGGTCCGTCCTGCTATTCACCCATAGCTGGGAGGAAAAGAAGAGGATTCATACCTTTCCCAAGTGAATGTAATGGATTCAACTGGATTTGAACTCGGCTCTCTGATTCCTCAATCTGAGCCACTATCCATTTCTCCGCTGGCAGGGATGATGGAATACCCTTATTTTCTATCATCACTGACGGCAAGGTTATTTTTAGTATGATGAAATATCATCATCATTCTGGATCATGACAACACCTTAAAAACAGGTCTCTGATGAGTCACTTGAGCTTGGGTAAAGGAAAAATGTCACATGGAGCAAGATCAGGTGAATAAGGAGGTTGTTTCAGCATGGCGATGTTGTTCTTGGCCAGGAACTGCTAGATGCTCAGGGTGTTGTGAGCAGGTGCATTGTTAGGGTAAACCAGTCATGATTTGTCCTGCCACAGTTCTTGCAAGTGAAGAAAAATGCAGTGGTTGTAGAAAAGCTAAGATTACAGTTATATTCTCCTGAGATGTCATATTAGATGATAGCACAAATCTGCTTATCCCTATTTTGCCCAGAGCTCACACAGTACAGCCAGACCCGTTACTTTTCAGACAGATTTTGTACATGTTTGATTCCTGTAGGCAGGTACTAAGGAAACAAGATCAAACAAACAAGCAGAAACAAAAGACATTGAAAGAACAAAACATGGCAAGAAACAAAGTGCTAATAGACTGAAGAGCAGAGAAATTATGGACACTTCACCCACTAAGCATAAATCAGACAAGTAAAAACTCTTAACACCTGGGGTCAAAACACTATGAAGGCGTAAAAGTGGGTTTTAATACCAGAAATACTATGTAAAAAAAAAAAAAGTTACCAGCAATAAATTTTTGATGGAAAAATTATTACCAGCAATACATTAGTACCAGCAATATATTAAAAAAGAAAAATATCTCCAGCAATATATTTTTGGAAAAATATTATCTGCAATACAGTTTTGAAAAAAAAAAAAACTATCAGCAATGCATTTTTGTAGAAAATGTTACCGGCTATACCTTTTGGGAAAAATATTAGCTGCAATAGATTTTTAAATGAAAAATATTTCCAGAAATAGATTTTTGAACGAAAAATATTACAGCCAATAAAAATTTTGTCTGCATTAAATAACCCATTGGAATGCTGTAATACCCAATCAAACCAAACCAAACCAAACCTACAGGCAGGTACAATTTTTATTCAGGACTTCTTGATCTAGGTCAATTGTTATTAATTTCACTGTTTACAAAAATAAAAACATTGTTAGCAACTCAAACATTTGTATCTGTCTATATTTCTGAGATGAGGTATTATGTACACTATTTACGTTATTCGGACTATTGTCCTCATCTTTGTCACCAAATAAAGGGATCAGTTTGACATTCTAACAACCTAAAGAAGGTCGGAGTGTACAACGGCTAAAATGTTGTAATAAATATGGTGACAAAGATGAGGACAATAATCCAAATAATGTAAATAGTGTCAAACATTTGTACCCTCTAAAAATAACATTTATAGTAATAAGAAATAAAGTTGTATTACTAAATTACTGTTGCTTACATTTTGGGTATGAAAATGAACCTTGCAGATTTAGATTCATAGATGTCCCAACAAGAGATGTGAATTCCTTAAGTATATCATTCAAGCCTTGTTCTATCAAGATGACCTCCCATGACCAAACTAGTAGCAGCACATTTTGGTTACAAAGTGGTTTACCTAATGGAAATGGAAAAATGGATTCAGTTTCAATTTTTATCTGGAGGCATAATTTTTCTTTAGATTTTTTTTCTGACATATTTTGATGACTGTCTTTAATTTATGCTTTTTTTATTTGTGCTGACAAGAATTAACTCTGAGATTTTGTAACGATTTCAAATGATAAAATTTCAAATTGAAAATCCTGGCTTAATGACTCATTAAACCTCAAACTTTTTCCGATTGTCTACTTTTCACCAAAAAAATCTTTTCCGATTGTCTACTTTTCACCAAAAAAACTTTTCTGATTGTCTACTTTTCACCAAAAAAATCTTTTACAATTATCTATTTTTCACCAAAAAAATCTTTTACAATTATCTATTTTTCACCAAAAAAATCTTTTCCGACTGTCTACTTTTCACCAAAAAAAAAAGTGAAAAGTAAAAAATAAATCCATTTGTCAATCTCATTTCAGATTTTAATTTTCTGCAGTGTGTTAAAAATTTTAAAAGATCAGACCTTGTTTTACTAGTTGTAATACAAATGTCAATTCACTAGATTCTATCATGAAATTATTATAATTTTGGCTGGTTCATTTTCCAAACTTCCTCAGTATCATCTAAAGATATGAGACAATGTATTATTCTTGCTTCATGGGCATCTCAGTTTGAAGTAATGGTTAGCAATGGTAGTCTGGTTGACTATTACTAGTCAACATTAATTCAACATTAAATAATCCAACAATTGTTGACAGGTGATACAATCAAATAACCTTATTCCATGGATTATACAGATGAATATTTTTTTTAATAAAATGTTTTGACTGATCTAATCTTCAGCTGTCATCAGGTGTGTCTGGCATTTAATTTTAAATCATCTTTTATTGTTTTAGAAAATGTTTTGGTTAAACTCTTTCTATGTCTCTTAAAAAAATTATCTCACTTGTATTTTGTGAAGACTTTTTCCCTATTTGTAATTTCGAAAGAAAAAAGAAGAAAAAAAAATGGAATATACAGGGTGTCCATAAAGTTTGTGCGCACTTTTAAAAATTTATAACTTTATTTGTATTTGCGATAGAAATAATCTGTAAAAAATGTTATAAAGTTTAATGTACCTAGTTTTAAGTATAGCTAAAATAACTAATGTTATTTCAGGCATTACTGCAAATCAGTTGGCAAATGTTTTCCATGAACTGCAAAATCGTATTAACCTTTGTATTGGTAATGATGGAGGAAACATAAATAAAATTTCAATAAAACGTTAAAAAATATAGATTTACTTCTTTCTAACCCTTTTTATAAATTATTTCTATCACAAATACAAATAAAGTTATAAATTTGTTAAACTGCACACAAAGTTTATGGACTACCTGTATTGCCAATACTTTATAGTAAACATCCTAAATATTTTTTTTGATAAAAATTATTCTTTTTGTCTATTTGTGGTGAAGGGATTGAATTATTACAAAACACTTCCTTGTATGTTTTCATAAATGATCATTATTTTATCATGAAAAGGAAATAAAAAAAATCCTGAAAAATGACTTTAAATGTGAACAACTTTGCTTGTTATCTGAAAAATAAAAATTGAAGTGAAGCCTATATTACTTGAAACAGGAAAGACATATTTATTGAAATAATAGCAATTATTTTTCTCACTAATTAGTATTGTATAAAGGTTTTTTAAATGTACAAAAGCATTTTAATTGGTTGTTTGAATTTCTTAACTAAAAAATTTCCATTATTAAAAAAATAAAATACAACCAGTTAAAAATAGATAATGTTATCAGGAATGTATGCATGAACTAAAAAATGTGTATATATTTGTGTCTGCCCAACAAGAAATGGAGGTATTAAAAAAAAGAGAAAAATATGTGGCTACAGAAATTTATCTGAAACTTTGAGACAAAGAAATTTTATTATGGCATACATTATTGCAATGTGCATCTTCCTACTTGAATAATATTTTTAAATTCATGTAGCTTAATAACTGTTATATATAAACTTAGCTTAATAACTAATATATAAAAACAACCTGAGTGACAAAAATAAGAAAAATGAAAGCAATATATATCAGAAGTTAATTATTACAAAGTCCCCTGAAAGAAATTTGGATAAATTTTTTGGATGTGTGGGTGGTGTAATGGATAGTGGCTCAGAATGAGAAATCAGAGCTGAGTTCAAGTTTTGATCATGTTTATTACATTCACTTATGAAGAATTACCCTTGGGAAAAGTATGAATCCACTTCCTCCCCTAAGTAGGGGTTAAATAGTACTTGTACCTGGAAAAATCGTTGTTCTTCTCAAAATTTCACTTACAGATAATGAATTGATTTTTTACAATTCAAAAATGTTTTTGTTTAAAAAATCCATAAAAGGGTTGGTAAGTCATAAAAAACAATCATTGGAAAATATTTTAATATGCTTGGTAATATATGAAATGATTGAAATATCTTTTGAATTAAAATATCTTAACAAAAAGTTATATTAAAATATTGTTCCTCTTTTCTTTTTCAGGGATTTACAAAAATTTACCGTCAATTCTTCCCATTTGGGGACCCAAGCAAATTTGCAGCTTTTGTTTTCAATGTTTTTGATGAAAATAAGGTAAAGACATTTTTTGTTGTTCACTTTCATTATTTTGCAGAAAATAAGGCAAAAACATTTTAGTTGTCTTTTGTTTTGAATTACTTTCCTTATAATAAAATTTACAAAAAGAAAAGCAGAAAAAAATTTTATTTACCAAGTTTTCAGTCATGTTTTATAAATTTTCACTCATCTATTCATCTTCCTGGACAGATTAAATGAGTGTCCAGCCATCTTTTTAAAGTTACATGTCTAGGGATATCTTCTTACTTGGTATGGCTCAGTTATTGCTCATTCTGTTTCCACTGTGTCTAGTCTATGTACTACCCAGTCCAGGGATTGAACTCACTATTACCATGCCATTAAATTCACAAACCAATGCTTTAATCTACTGGACTATTGTTCCAGGTAGTACAGACACAGGCTCAGTTGAAAGAAGGTGAGCAATAACTGAGCAGTGTTGGAAATATCCCAAGACATGGACAGGGGAATGAGAACACTCTATCCCTACAAATTAAATAAAGGGTTCATTTTGAATATCTCTGAAAGTTACCTGGATCAACAGACAGCTGAAGCAGGCTGGATGGTCTAATGGCTGAAAAATTGTGATAAAGCACATTTACTTCATCAGATTTTTTTTCAAAGCACATTAACCCTTGTGCAAATTAATTGAAACAACTACTTTAGCTTCCATTTTTTCACCATTCGGTCAGTTTTAGACCCACTGGAGTAACATGGTGTAATCAATTTTTATTTTTTTTCTCAGATTAAGTCATTTGCAGTGGTGTGTAGTAATATGAATCTATTTTCAGGCTGTATGATGAAATGTTTGCCCTTACATCAGCCATGATTTCATCAGGTTTTTATCATGCCCAGACACTATTGTTTTGATTGTTGATTAGTTGTCCTACAGCCATTGTCTGTGATGGACGTTACTCCAAGGAAGCATATGAAAATTGTAACACTGCATGAACGCATTGGCAAGCGTTACCAATGAGCAAATCAAAGTACTATAGACTGGGCCGGAAACTCTCCTCATTTAAATCCAATCAAGAATCTGTGGTCAATCTGCAAGGAATGACTTTGTAGAATGGACATACAAAATACTAACATGTGCACTGGGTCATGTTTCATTGGAAAAATATGAAAAGAAAAAAAGTAATTTGCACAAGGGTGTATCTGTACAGTTTAATATCCAAAATGCAAAGCAATTTCTAAAAATTTAATGAATTTTAATTTTTAATCTGACATAAAGGCAAAATGGATTCTTGCTTTATTGTGAAGCTCTTTGTGGCTGAGTGGTAAAAGCATGTTATATCAGGCAGTGGTTCCTCCTGAAAAGGGTGGTGAGGCTTGAATCCTACTGGAGGGCACATTTTCTTTATTAAATTTTCTCAAATATGCAGACAGGTAAATGAAATAAATTCTGGTTAAAATAACAAAAGCATCTTCTTAAATATGAGTATCCACTAAAAATAACGTTTGAAGTAATAAAAACATATATACATATATTTTTATTATATATCTGTCTATATCTCTGAAATGAGGTATTATGATTACTTGCATTATTCAAACTGTTATCCTCATCTTCATTGCTATATTCACAATGTTTCAGCCATTGTACACTTTGGCCTTTATGTCTATGTCTTTCTATATATCTGTCTATATCTCTGAGATGAGGCATTATGATTACTTGCATTATTTACATTATTTGAACTGTTATCCTCATCTTCATTGCTATATTCACAACGTTTCGGCCGTTGTACGCTCCGGCCTTCTTCAGGTGATTTATTGACTAGTGGATAAAGATGTTGGTTAGATCCAGTGACTAGACCCAAACAGTTGTGAGTTCAATACCACGTCACACCAAAACTTGGGGAGTTAAATTAAAGGGAAATAACCGAGACATCTGGAAGAGGCATGGCACGTGGAACTAGAACAATATATCCCGGTGGATGAAATAAGGGGTTCAGTTTGAAATTCCAATCATCTGAAGAAGAAGAGAGTGTACAATGGCCAAAACATTGTGAATATGGCAGTGAAAATGAGGATAACAGTCTGATTAATGTAAATGATGGAAGTAATATATACAGATATATATCCATATTTCATTCATATTCAGTTTGTAAAGAGAAAGCTCCACTGATGGAGCATCTTCCCAAGAACTGTTACTTTCTGGAACAGACCCTCTAAAGTTTGCTTCCTCAATCATTACAACCATAATGTTTTCAAGTCTAGGGTCAGTCCTACATATCCTCATAATATGCTATTTTTACCGCCTCATTTTTAAGACCTTGCAACAACTTAATTCAGTAACCCTCTACTTTGAGTGGCACTTGGGCCTTGTATTAGGTGAACAACAGTATAAAACAAATTAAATGTGCATCAGAGATCAAAAATCAGCAACAAGCTCCCAAGTATATTAAATATGAGTTCAAATCTTGTGAAAGTATCTGTCTATATTTCTGAGATGTGGCATTATATACATTATTTACATTATTCGGACTATTGTTCTCATCTTTGTCGCCATATTTATTACAATGTTTCGGATGTTGTACACTCCAGCTGTTGTTGGAATGTCGAACTTAACACTTTATTTCGCTCACTGTGGTAGAATGTTCTAGTTCCACGTGCCATGTTTAATGGATGTCAGTTATTGGTTATCTCCTGTTAATTTCCTTCTGAAAGTTCTCCACTGCCTTAACTGGGTATTGAATTCACACTCTTTGGGTCCTGTCCCTGGATCTAACTAACACCTTTATCCACTGTGCCATGTTTCCTTGAGGACAATAGTTTGAATAATGTAAATAATGTACATAATGCCTCAGAAATATAGACAGATATTGAAAGGCTAAAACATTGTAATAAATATGGCAACAAAGATGAGGACAATAGTCTGAATAATGTAAATAGTGTACATAATACCTCATCTCAGAAATATAGACAGATAAATAAAGGTCGAAATGTTGTAATGAATATGGCGACAAAGATGATGACAATAGTCCGAATAATGTAAATAGTGTACATAATACCTCATCTCAGAAATATAAACAGATACTGAAGGGCCAAAACATTGTAATTAATATGGTGACAAAGATGAGGACAATAGTCCAAATAATGTAAATAGTGTACATAATACCTCAATCTCAGAAATATACACAGATATTGAAGAGCCGAAATGTAATAAATATGGCGACAAAGATGAGGACAATAGTCCGAATAATGTAAAAAATGTATCTTGTGAAAGGTTAATATTTTTTTTGGTTTTGACCCCTGCTGCTTGCTTCTGAGTCATAGATTGTAAAACAACCTAAGTAACAAAAATAAAAATGGTTCAGTTAATTTTACTCACCAGGCAGACCCCCACATGTGTTAAATAGCTACAGTTACTTTAGTGCAATTTTCGCTACTATTTTAGTCTTTGTCTAAGGGAATGTCTTCTTTTGGATCATTTCAGTGGAATGAATTATTCAGAATGAAATTTAATTACCATCTGGTTAATTAATTAGGAAAAAAATTATAAATAACAAACAAACTAATGATTAGTTGCTAATTTTGAATGTAAAGATTATTTTTGAAAACTTATTTTTGTCTTTTGTTTTACTCATCCCTTATGTTTAGAGTTCATAGGGTTTTAATCAATATTTCTTCTAAAACTTTTCTTTTGATAATTCATGGAGATTTCTGGTCATCCTGGTAAATCTAGTTTCAGTAAAATCAAACCAATTAATACAAGATTACCATAAGCACAAATTAATTAGAATAATTCATTGATTAATTCAATAATTTTTGGTTGCAGCCATAAAAATGACGGAAAATTTATTTTGGTCTCTTGGAACTTTATTAGAAAACAATCCCACAATGCCTTTTAAACAGCCAAAGAATAAAACATCATTGTCATAACAAAGGGATTTGTGCTTTCAATTAATTTTTCAATCTCTCCTTCTTTCTACATGTGTCAATCTCTGTATGTAAGTCTAACTTTCTCTCTCTCTCTCTCTCTCTCTCTCTCACTCACACACACACACACACACACACACACACACACACACACACATATTGCTAAAGAAGTAAAGGAATTTTTTATTTATTAATCTAACAGATTTTTATCACTTTAACTGTTATTTTTAATGGATACACATATTTGAGTAGATGTTCTATTTATTCTAAACAGTGTATTCCACTGGCCTGAATATTTGATTAATCTTATTAAAGAAAATACAACAGGATCCAACAGGATCTAAACTTGCATCCCACTTTTGCACGAGAAACTGTTGCCAGTCAGATTCAACTTACTTTTAACTGATGGCCATGAAGGGTGTTGCTGATTAAGCAAAGATGAATATATATAATATATATATATATATATATATATATATATATATATATAAAAAAACACAAACACTAATATTCCATGGTTATAATTTATTACATTGCAATCGTAATTATGTGATTATGATTCCAATGTAATAAATTATAACCATGGAATATTAGTGTTTGAGCCTTTTTATATTATATTCTTACTCTGTTCTGGACATTGAGTTCTAACTGGATTTTATCCGCTTGGGAATATATATATATATATATATATATATATATATATATATACTGACCAGTATATATATATATATATATATATATATATATATATATATATATATATATATATATAGTAATATTATATATATATATATATATATATATATATATATATATATATATATATATGACCATATATATATATATATATATATATATATATATATAATGACCAGTAATATTATATATATATATATATATATATATATTACTAGTAATATTATATATATATATATATATATATATATATTTACTGACTAGTAATATTATATATATATATATATATATATATATGACCACTAATATTATATATATATATATATATATATATATATATATACTACCATATAATATATATATATATATATATATATATATATATATATACCACTAATATTATATATATATATATATATACCCCA